ATATATATTATTTGCAATCAGTCTTTGGACTATGAGCAAATTTATTGAGCGCAACCAAACATGACAGGAGTGGTCGGCCAGCGCCACCACTTCAGTCTATACTTTTTAAACACAGAAAAAGTTCTCCACTATGATTGTGACGTCACAATATTTGTAAACAACTAAACGTCATTGTCCGACGAAAGAAACCACAGTAGCACGTACTATAGTTTCTTTCGTCGGACTAAAATATATCTAAAAACTCATATCTTGTAGAAAAGTTTACGTTTATTGATTTTGTTGACTAAATTAATGTTGGACGCCGGATTTGTGAAAGCAGAAACGACAAAACTCTTCGACTTAGTAGGTACATTCATAACCTTAAAAATTGTATTTTAAAATTTAATTTTTATTCAATGTATACTTACATCGAAGTGATCTCTGCAAAAAGAAATGACTTTTAGTCAATAAAGTTATAGGATTTAGCAAGTTTTAAACATGTGTTCATGTGTAGGTATATTTATTTCTCTAGGCAATTTAAACCACAACTTTTGTCTTTAACTCATGATAATTACTTTTATGTAATCTTTTAGCAATTATGGTTTTCTAATATAAACTCAAATAGTTTATTTCCTACGTGCTTGCGAGTGTTTGTTTACAAATGGTTTTGACGTCATAGCATAGATAAATCTATAGACTAAAATGGCCAACAGGGTTTTTGTGTGTCCATGAACTCTTTTTGTAAAATTAAAGTTTTGTAGCTTTCTAGGTCAAAAAAAATACAATACATTTTTTTCAGTTTTAATAGACTGAAAAAAACTATTGATCAATTATTAACCATTTAAAACGTATTTTCAAAAAGTGTCAACTAGCCTGTTTGACAACAGTGTATCTTTGTCATTTTCTATACATAACGAAAAGGAGAGACTGATCTTAAATTAAGTTTTAAGTTTAGAAAATCATGCCAGAATCGACAGCAGGGATGTTAGGGAGCTCCGTAACCGTAACCGAAACTATCGGATATCCGATATAAAAAATCATCCGTAACCGTAACCGAATCCGAAATGAAAGTTTCGGATAGTATCGGATAGGGGCGGAGCCTAATTGAGACACGTTATGACAAGTTGTTTTGATCGGCTGGCCGCTGCCAGTGCCGACACACAAGCTGCGCGTATTGTTTGTTTTTTTCTTCTTTGACAAAGTGTTGGTTGTGTTACGGAATCGATTGAATTTGTACAAAATGCGTCCTAAGTCGAGTGCAGTTTGGTCGTTTTTTGATGAAATGACCGATTCCGCAAAATGTAAACAGTGTGGTAAAAGGTTTTCAAGGAAAGGAGGTGGGACTACATCGCTAAAACTTCACCTTAAATCACAACATAGTGATAAGTACGAAGAACTTTTGCTACTGGAAAAAGGTAACCAACAAAATAACCTACAAACAGCCAAGCAGCTGACACCTTTACAAGAGTGTAAAAAACAGTTGACACTCAAAGATTCGTTAAAAAACAAAGGTGCCTGGGATGAAACTAATACTAAACAAAAAGAAATTGATAAATTAGTGGCTGAAATGATAGCGTTACAAAACTTGCCATTTAATTTTGTAGAAGGTGTGGGATTTCAAAGATTAGTGCAGGCAGCCTTACCACGTTATAATCTTAGAGGTCGGCAGTACTTTACTAATTTACTGTGCAATGATATCTACAACAAAATGAAGTTAAAGATTCTGGACTTATTGAAACAATTTGAGAAGTTATCATTTACTACAGATGTGTGGTCCGAGCCCAGCGCAAATGTCTCGTTACTTAGTCTTACTGCTCATGGCATCACGAATAATTATGAAAGAGTTTCTATAATACTCAAGTGTGAACAATTAGAGGGTCGGCACACAGGTGAAATTATAGCGAATAATTTAAACAATATTTTGCAAGATTGGGGCTTAAGCAATGAATCAGTTCATTGTATTTTACGCGACAAAGGATCAAATATGATAAAAGCTATGAGAACGGCCAATTTCCCTGATGCAAACTGTACTATTCATCAACTTCAATTATGTGTTAGATCAGCAATGGAAACCGAAGAATTTATCTCGCCAGTGATTACAAAGTGCAAAAAAATTGCTACTCACTTCCATCACTCACTAATTTCTCAAAATGAATTAAAACAAATTCAAACAGAAAGACTGAACCAAACAGAGTTATGTATCGTTCAGGATTGTTCTACAAGATAAGATATTTCTATTTTAAACTAAAATAATTTTATATAAATGTTTTTTTTTCTTCTGTACGTTGTTTAATTTCACATATGTTTTATTTATTCACAGATGGAATTCGACTTATTATATGATGGATAGAATATTGAAATTAAAAGACTCCTTGATACTGTATTCGGGCGCGCATACTATACCGATTCCTACTGCTGATGAATGGCTCGACTTGGAAAAGTGTATTGCAATATTAAAGCCATTCGAAGAAATTACACAGGAGTTAAGTAGTGCAACTGCGACAATAGCTTCAGTGATTCCTTTAGTCTATACTCTTAAAAACACATTAGAAACAGAAAAGACTAAACAAGACACATCAGAAAACTTTAAATTAATGATTACAAATATGGTCCATAATATCAGCGTCAGATTTCAGGACATTGAGAATAATAAAATATATACAATAGCTACTTATCTAGATCCACGCTACAAGCTCAAGTTTTTCAATGAAATTACTAAGGAACAAGTACAGACAGAGATTCTAGGAATCGTTGGGTGTTCAAGAACTTCTCATGATGAAGGTCCTTCTTCACCAAAGAGATCACGGACTCAGCTGCCATCAACAAGTTCATACATTCAATCTTGTCTAGCTGAAATATTAAGCGCAAGTGACGAAGAAGAGCACGTAGGTGGTGATGAGGATGATACAGTACCCAATCAATTAATTGTCAAAAAAGCATTGTTAAATGAATACAATAGAGAGAAAAGGTTGACACTCAGTGAAAATCCACTTTTATGGTGGAAAATGCATACGAAGTACAACAGTTTAAGTGCTTTAGTCAGACAGTACCTCTCTCCGCCGCCTGGCAGTGTACCGAGTGAACAGCTTTTCAGTGCTGCTGGGTTAATTTATGATCCTTTAAGAAATAGACTTTCTGGTGATAAGGCTGCGAAATTACTTTTTGTCAAGTATAATTTACCTTTGATAAAATTTGATTATTGAAAATGTTTAATGTTATTATAAATTAATGTAAGACAATGTATGATTAAGTTCAGAATAAAAAAGGAAGATATGATTGTTATGTTTGCACAAATTATAAAAAAGGAAGCTATGATTGTTATGTTCGACTTAAATTATAGTTATAGTAAACTTAATTTAATTCTGATTTCAATATTTTCTTTTAATACGAAATTACTGATTCAGTATAAGTAATAATTTTGTTATTACATTTTCATTTTAGGTGTTTTTGATCTAAATCATCTAAAATTTAGATAATACTCAATATAATATAATTATTTATATTTATTTTTATTTTAAATAGCTGTAATAATTACTCACAGACTGATTGTAATTCCTGCCAAAAACGAAATAAAACTACTTTATTACCTATTAGTATTTTACTTTTAAAATTCCTTAAAAATATAATATCCGTAACCGAAACTAACGGATAATCCGAAATAATTTATTATCCGTATCCGTAACCGTATCCGGTATAATAATCATTCCTATATCCGTATCCTATCCGTAACCGAAATTTCATATCCATAACATCCCTAATCGACAGTCACCAGTGTCTGTGTCTGATGGTAAATGTCTACCACAGCATGGTATATGCTGCCAATGCAGCGTTTTCTCCAAGAACTCTATGTTCTATCTTCCTTTTTTAAATAAATTGTATAACAAAATACTCGTTTTATTCGGTTTTACCTATCCTAACTTCTTCATTTTACTCAAAAAAAAAGTACGTAGATCTACGAACTTTCATATGCAAATTTTACTAATTCTACGTAATTTTCTCATCGGACCTACGTCATTTTCAAAATGTGAGTTGGCAACACTGCTTGTCGTTTTCTTTTCCTGCATAAATGCTAAGTTTGTATGTATATCCCGGCAATGTGCAAAGATTAAATTTGTTGATACCATATTTATGGCGTTTTTGTTTGTTATCCTCACGAAAAATCAGTCTTCCATGAAACGGTACGACGCTCTTGTCTATATATATAAAACTCAAAGGTGACTGACTGACATAGGGGCCGTCCCATAAATTACGTCATCGACTTTTCAGATTTTAGACCCCCCCCCCCCTACAATCATCTTATCGTCATTTCTTAATGCCCCCCCCCCTTCTCCCAAAATTGACGTCATTACCAGTTTGACAAAATTAAAACATTGCAGATTTGAGAAAAATAGGGTATTATATGATTAAAACACTTGGTTATAGAATCACCTTTTATTATTTTTACTTTGGCAATAATCATTGATATAAAAAATAGGGTATAATAATATTATATATTATAATATATATATATATATACTATAAAAATAGTAAAAAATAGGGTATAATAATATTAGATATTATTATTCCCTATTTTTTACTTTTCTTTGGATAACTCCCACGGAGTTTTCACCCATTATTTTAAATTCTGGATCACAGGTAATATCTCCGTATCCTCCCGATATTCGTTTTGGCTCGATTCATCCACGTCTTCAACCCACTCAACGTCGAGTGCCTGTCCCGTTACGCCGTCATGCAACTGTTGAAGGACTTCTATTCCTCGCCGTCCTAAGATTCGAGCACTACGACGAGGGGCCGCAGGACCTCCAGTTTCCTGGTCCATTAAACACTGAAATAAAAAAAAGACTATAAGCACTTTTTCCTCGTTTCCTCCTGCTCATTTTTTAATTGGACGGCCACTAGTATCCATACCACATCCACAAGTCATCGACGACAACATCACTCGCCTTGATCGATTCAAAAGAGTCGAACATATTAAGCAGCATTTCTGGCGCCGCTTCGCATTAGAATATGTCAACCAGTTGCAGCAGGAGCTGAAACGTGGCTCTCTTGTTATTGTCAAGGACAGTACTCTTCCACCCCTTCTGTGGTCTTCGGGAAGAGTCATAAATGTCTACCCTGGGAGTGATGGCATCGTCAGAGTCGCCGAGTTGAAGACCAAACGATGCCTCGGCCATTCGGAGGGCATTTAATAACATCTGTTCAGAATCTTGAAGCCTTCATCAGCAGCCTTCAACCCGGGGAGCATGTCGCCGACTAGTCTTACGCACGGGAGGAGGAACCACGACCAAGGGAAGGAGCGGCCGCGGCGGCCGACACTTGCTTACGCGCCTCGCACAGCATCGCACGGGCCCAACTGCGTTCATAATTTAACACCACGTCAACGTTAAATAATCTGTTTTGTGATAAATATACCAGTTTACCTAGAATTACAGTCCAGGTTATTTAAAGTCCCCATAGGACCCTTATCATTGGTGACTGGCCGTCACCAATAGACGAGCACAGAAAGAGGGAGACAATTACATCGCTACCAACTTAACATAAAAATGAAGTCATAAACTATTAACATGTGCAGTATTGGCAACATTAAAATGATGGATACTCCAACAGCACTATATGCAAATATTTAGGTTTCATAATTGATACACAGAGTTATCATATTGCTCTTACAGATGAAAAAAGAATTCTAATCAAACCACCTGTCCCTATTAACAAAGTCGGATCTTGAAATTTGCGTTTTTTTTATTATTTCATAATTCATTCTTAAATAACAATATCTACCGGCAACATCAATTAAAAATATAATTTTATACATAGTTTTTTAAATACACACATTAAAAATGTCGGATATAGTCCAGATGGTCCGTTAAGAACGTCAGTTCTTAAATACCTACATCCTTTGCGGGGCGACACGGGCGGCCGGTTGCGCGGATCTCACAGTTCTAACAATGTTAGCGGGTAAAACGCACGTCCCGTTATAAATAATTTTAAGCCAACAATAATTTAGTTATTTAATCATTTACTATATAATAAATAATATACGCAAAGATGTTCAGTAGATCTTCCCATTTAGTAAGGTTAGCTACTGAAAAACGAGTAGAAATTAGGTATGTATTTAACTTCAAAATATTAAAACATACATTTTTTTAAATATTGTAAGTAAATTTTGTATAATTTATTTAAAATGTATTATTTTTCAGGTCAACTCAATATTAAATATAATTTTGACTAGGTACCTACTAACTTTCATTTATAAATTAATGATTGCAAAATTTACTTGACACAGCGTTTAACAAAGTAGGATCTTCAACATACGACTTTGTTAATTGTCTTTACTTTTGACTAAAATGTCGGTAGTGTAACATCCGACGTTGTTAAATGTTTCTGAAAATGGGCATAATTTCGGTAGTGAGACATCCGACGTTCTTAAACGTTTTTGTATTTAGGTTAAATGTCGGTACAAGGACATCCGACTTTGTTAAAAAGGTTTTTTACAAAACATCAATGTCGATAGTGTGAAAACTGGTTTAAAAAATCCGGCCAAGTGCGAGTCGGGCTCGTGCACGAAGGATTCCATACCATATTGTGATGAAGAAGTATTGATTGAGACTGATCAACGGGGCAAATATAAGCACAAGAAGACAGTATTAGACGAGAAAATGATTCGAAGTGTTTCTGATCTTGTTAAGTCCTTTCCCTTAGTAGAATCACATTATGTCCGGAAAACTTCCAAGAAATTATATTTAGAAGGTATGACTAGTGCATCTTGCATGTATAATTTGTATGAGGAATTGTTCGATTCCGAAAAATATAGTAATAGAGCAAATAAAAGACAATATCGGGATATAATCAATGCAGATTTCAACATAGGATTCCATAAACCTAAAAAAGATCTCTGTAATATCTGTCATATTTACAAAAACAAAAAAAATCTAACAGAAGATGAAAAATCTGCATTTTTAAAACATCAAGCTTCAAAAGCAACTGCCAGATGCTTAAAGCAGCTCGACAAAGACGAGGCGACTTCGAATATAAATATTTTATGGGCCACTTTCGACTTTGAAAAGGTTTTGATAACGCCACATGGAGATATAAGCGTTTTTTATTATAAAAAAAAAGTTATGTACACAAAATTTTACGGTCTATCGTATGGCTACCAAAAAAGCTACATGCTTTATGTGAAACGAAGTCATAGCAAAACATGGGGCAAATGAGGTATCGAGTTGCTTATATCAATATATAAAAGAGCACGCAGTTAAGGGAGTAAAAGCTTTTAAATTTTGGTCAGATAATTGTGCTGGGAAAAATCACAACCGTTTTTTTTTCTTTATACTTACTAGCGGCAAAAGAATTTGATGTTACGATTACTCACCGTTTTATGGAAAAAGACCACACCCAAAGTGTGCATTCAACTACTGAAAAGGCTAATGATCATAAGCATAAGCTACAATTATAAATTTGTACCAGAAGAATGGTACTGCCTCGTTCTCTGGGTCAAAATTGAAGGTGATCCTTATGAAGTCATAGAGATGACAACTCCAGAAATACTCGATTTTAAATCTCTTTTAATAAATAAAAGTTGGAATAAAAATACAAACAATGAGAAGATTCAATGGACACCCGTAAGAGAGGTAACAGTAAATGCACAGAACTTTGATAGGATCGAATATAATTATGATTTTGCTGATGCACCAAAGACTGTTGTTATGATACGATGTGGTACCCGAAATACTGATAGATTATCTCGCGAATTCCAAATAAAATAGGCCTATGATAGTGAATTACCAATAAGTCAAAACAAACATAAAGATTTATTGGATTTATGTTAAATTCATTTACCTTAAATTGGCACAATCTTAATTTTTATGCATTTCCCCCAGTGTCAGTAATTTTGAAGGTTGTTCGAAAAATTATCACAGACAAAGCAGAAGACTTGGTAGTTGTCCCCCTCTGGCCCACTCAACCGTAGTTCCCTATATTTCAAATGCTATGTCGCCATATGATTATCCTTGGAACCAATACAAATGTTTTGACATCTGTTCCCAACAGATACCTGGAACACAAAGTTACGCTGGTAGCCGCGAGACTATCCGCACGGCGCTCTCACGAAGGGGTGTCCCACCAAGTGCATTAGCTATTATGGATGCGTCAATATCAAATAACTCAATCAAGCAATATGGTGTGGCTTTTAAGAAATGGTTTGTTTATTGTAAAAAACATAATTTCGATCCTTACGCCGCGTCAGTTCCCCATGTAATTGCATTCTTAACTGAAATTTTTCAAACTGGAGCTCAGTATAGTACATTGAATAGTTATAGATCTGCATTATCTTTGATTTTAAACTATAAAATTGGGACGGACGATAGAATGACAAGGTTATTTGGTTTTTATCGCCTTCGTCCCCCACTGCCGAAATATAGTGTTACCTGGAACCCTTCCATTGTACTAAATTTTTTGTAAGTTACTGGTTTGATGAAACAGCATACGATTTAAAAGCAACAATGTATGCTTCGTTTTTTGTTGATTATCTAAGAAACTTGCTAAGTGAAAATCTTAAAGACGTTGTTATATGGACCGACGGATGCACTGCTCAAAACAGAAATGCTGTTGTATCGAACGCGCTTCTCAGACTAGCAATGGATAAAAATTTTACCATCACTCAAAAATACCTCGAAAAAGGGCACACTCAAGTGGAGGTAGATTCGGTACATTCACTTGTTGAAAGAAAACTTCAAAATGTTGAATTTTTTTTCCGTCTCAGTATGCGTCTCTGACCAAGGAGGCCAGGAAAAAACCTTTTCCTTATAAAGTTATACAACCATGCGTCTCTGACCAAGGAGGCCAGGAAAAAACCTTTTCCTTATAAAGTTATACAACCAGATCATACCTTTTTCAAAGACTACAGCGTCAGAAAGTATCAAGTTTATGACTCCATAAGACCTGGGCGTAGTTCTGGTGATAACTGTGTAGTAGATCTACGAGTATTGAAATATATGCCAATGGTACTATAGAGTTTAAAAAACATTTTGATGATAAATTTAGTCCATTGCCCCGAAGACCAAGAAATATTTCAACATTGATAAGCGAAGTACCATTTCTTTATTCTTCTAGATTAAATCAATCAAAATCAATACTGGTAAATTAAAGACTGTAATTCCCAGTGACTGCCACCACTTTTATGATAATATACCGTTTCATAAAAAATAAGCAAGACTGTATTATTACATATTTAAGAAACGACAAATTATCAATACATAATGAGCAATCTCATTTATACTGAATTAAGTTTTGTACTAGGTATATTAATGTTACAGGTTTCTATTTTAATCGATGTTATAAAGTTTTGTTATAGTTTTTTAATTTGTGTTTTTTGAGTCAAATATGTTTACAGTTTTGAACTTTATTTATTTTTCTGTTTTTCATGATGTGGCAGTGGTTATTATTTGTTATAGGTAACTTTTCTAAATTTTAAGTTATCAGCATTGTAGTTCATGGTTTTTGAAATATTGAGACTGATTAATCTGAGATATAATAATTATTGTTAAATTACTTTAATTAAGTAATAAATGAACCGTTATAATGTTTATTTACACCCTTTTTGTATAACGCGTAACTACGAAAAATGCGTAACGCAAGGTGTCCACTATTCTCACTCATTAATTAATAACAAAGTGAGGCCGTAAGCAGACGTTCGTCACGTGGATCGGTTGGTTGGCGCACGTGCGTGCGCTTTCTCCGCCGAGTCGCGCGTCACTGACCGCTGCAATGTGTAGCACATACATTGAATTTGCTATGCGAAGATCGCTTAAAACTAGCACCTATTAATGCGTTAATATTGATTGCCACAGGTATGATAAAAGCAATAAAAAGAAACCAAACCAACTCAGATTGTAAAAGAAAAAGGTTCAGGTGAAGCATTAAAATTGCCAGGGAAAACCTGCTGGGGCAGTTCCACCACTGCGTTGAAAAGTTTAAAAAAATCCAAAGTTGCATTACAGACATTAGCTGTTCACGAAGATGGCAATGGAATACTAATGAATGAAGTTTATATGGCCTTCAAACATATTAAGTCTACATTTAGTTTTGCATTTCCGGATATATCCATTCCAAGTGAGCATCACAAACGAGATATTACAAATTCTGTAATTAGGCGTACAAATAATTGTTTGAAACCCATTCATTCCATCCATTGATGCATACGAAATTTGTGTAACTCCTTTACATATAAGAAGACAATATCTAGCTTATAAATTTTGTCTTAAGAGCAGATCTTTAGGAAATAATGTGACTTTAAATTTAATGAAAGAACTGTACGCCTTTTGTAGCCATAGGTATTGGAGGAATAAAAAAACCATTATTAGTGACATCATACTCGGAAACAAAAGATGATTAAATGTTTTCATCAAATCCTTTACAAATTTTCACATTAAATATTTGGCTCACTAAAATAAAAATAAAAAATGTTATATTTATTAATTTAGATAGTGTTGCAGGGGAAAAAAAATCTTATGAAATAAATCTTTTAAAACACGAAGTCACTGCAGAATTAAACAATAAGTACAACGAATTCTTTAAAATTTATACCGATGGCTCAAAAGACGGCCATGGCCCAGGAGCAGCTTTTTATAATCCAATAGATAAATATAATGAATGTTTTGAAATAAATTCAATGGTATCTATTATGGTTGCCGAGTTATTGGCTATTTCAGAGGCTTTATCATATATTATGAAAAAAGGATACAATAAAGTTGTAATTTTAAGTGACAGCAAAAGCGCTCTGCAACATATTAAACGATGTGTCGCTGATCAAAGAGCTGCTCCCATTGCAAAAGTTATACTTAAAAAAAATCAAGAATTACAAATAAATAATAAAACAATTATGTAACAATGGATGCAGTGTTGCCAACTCTACGTCTTTTTACGTAGATCTACGTATTTTAGGCCTTTTCTGCAAACCTACTAATTTCAGTCCCAGAATCTACGTATTTTCTTTAAATTTGTACAAATTTGCAAAATAACATAACTCACTAGAATAAAGTAGCATATTTTCCGTTACTTCACTTAAAAACTATACAAATGTATATTTCTTATAATTTTTGGTATGAGGAACCTTAATACATCGATTTCACTTCATAAAATTAGAAGATGACTGTAGTTATTTAATTTGAAAAATTGTTTTTTAGTCTATACTTTTTTTTTTATATATATTATTTGCAATCAGTCTTTGGACTATGAGCAAATTTATTGAGCGCAACCAAACATGACAGGAGTGGTCGGCCAGCGCCACCACTTCAGTCTATACTTTTTAAACACAGAAAAAGTTCTCCACTATGATTGTGACGTCACAATATTTGTAAACAACTAAACGTCATTGTCCGACGAAAGAAACCACAGTAGCACGTACTATAGTTTCTTTCGTCGGACTAAAATATATCTAAAAACTCATATCTTGTAGAAAAGTTTACGTTTATTGATTTTGTTGACTAAATTAATGTTGGACGCCGGATTTGTGAAAGCAGAAACGACAAAACTCTTCGACTTAGTAGGTACATTCATAACCTTAAAAATTGTATTTTAAAATTTAATTTTTATTCAATGTATACTTACATCGAAGTGATCTCTGCAAAAAGAAATGACTTTTAGTCAATAAAGTTATAGGATTTAGCAAGTTTTAAACATGTGTTCATGTGTAGGTATATTTATTTCTCTAGGCAATTTAAACCACAACTTTTGTCTTTAACTCATGATAATTACTTTTATGTAATCTTTTAGCAATTATGGTTTTCTAATATAAACTCAAATAGTTTATTTCCTACGTGCTTGCGAGTGTTTGTTTACAAATGGTTTTGACGTCATAGCATAGATAAATCTATAGACTAAAATGGCCAACAGGGTTTTTGTGTGTCCATGAACTCTTTTTGTAAAATTAAAGTTTTGTAGCTTTCTAGGTCAAAAAAAATACAATACATTTTTTTCAGTTTTAATAGACTGAAAAAAACTATTGATCAATTATTAACCATTTAAAACGTATTTTCAAAAAGTGTCAACTAGCCTGTTTGACAACAGTGTATCTTTGTCATTTTCTATACATAACGAAAAGGAGAGACTGATCTTAAATTAAGTTTTAAGTTTAGAAAATCATGCCAGAATCGACAGCAGGGATGTTAGGGAGCTCCGTAACCGTAACCGAAACTATCGGATATCCGATATAAAAAATCATCCGTAACCGTAACCGAATCCGAAATGAAAGTTTCGGATAGTATCGGATAGGGGCGGAGCCTAATTGAGACACGTTATGACAAGTTGTTTTGATCGGCTGGCCGCTGCCAGTGCCGACACACAAGCTGCGCGTATTGTTTGTTTTTTTTCTTCTTTGACAAAGTGTTGGTTGTGTTACGGAATCGATTGAATTTGTACAAAATGCGTCCTAAGTCGAGTGCAGTTTGGTCGTTTTTTGATGAAATGACCGATTCCGCAAAATGTAAACAGTGTGGTAAAAGGTTTTCAAGGAAAGGAGGTGGGACTACATCGCTAAAACTTCACCTTAAATCACAACATAGTGATAAGTACGAAGAACTTTTGCTACTGGAAAAAGGTAACCAACAAAATAACCTACAAACAGCCAAGCAGCTGACACCTTTACAAGAGTGTAAAAAACAGTTGACACTCAAAGATTCGTTAAAAAACAAAGGTGCCTGGGATGAAACTAATACTAAACAAAAAGAAATTGATAAATTAGTGGCTGAAATGATAGCGTTACAAAACTTGCCATTTAATTTTGTAGAAGGTGTGGGATTTCAAAGATTAGTGCAGGCAGCCTTACCACGTTATAATCTTAGAGGTCGGCAGTACTTTACTAATTTACTGTGCAATGATATCTACAACAAAATGAAGTTAAAGATTCTGGACTTATTGAAACAATTTGAGAAGTTATCATTTACTACAGATGTGTGGTCCGAGCCCAGCGCAAATGTCTCGTTACTTAGTCTTACTGCTCATGGCATCACGAATAATTATGAAAGAGTTTCTATAATACTCAAGTGTGAACAATTAGAGGGTCGGCACACAGGTGAAATTATAGCGAATAATTTAAACAATATTTTGCAAGATTGGGGCTTAAGCAATGAATCAGTTCATTGTATTTTACGCGACAAAGGATCAAATATGATAAAAGCTATGAGAACGGCCAATTTCCCTGATGCAAACTGTACTATTCATCAACTTCAATTATGTGTTAGATCAGCAATGGAAACCGAAGAATTTATCTCGCCAGTGATTACAAAGTGCAAAAAAATTGCTACTCACTTCCATCACTCACTAATTTCTCAAAATGAATTAAAACAAATTCAAACAGAAAGACTGAACCAAACAGAGTTATGTATCGTTCAGGATTGTTCTACAAGATAAGATATTTCTATTTTAAACTAAAATAATTTTATATAAATGTTTTTTTTTCTTCTGTACGTTGTTTAATTTCACATATGTTTTATTTATTCACAGATGGAA